GGAAAAGCTAAATCTCAGTGGGAAATAAAAATACGTATGAGATATATGAAAGCGAAAATACGAGTTTTGTCGGAAGGTAATATTTCTACCAAATACGAGTTTTGCCCGAAACTTTTCAGACAGAAAAGGCCGGGCTCTTAAAACCATTTAAATTAGACAGTGTTAAATTCTATAAGCGATTTCCGGCTTCTCTAGGGGCCCATTAACTCACTAGTAGGATTATTCAAATTATATCCAAGATCTTGTAGATCCTCATAGGTGCCGAAGTTGTCTGATTACCCTCTGACGGGGCTGCTGTGGCGGTGACTGTGTCCGAGATGCTAATTCTAATTTTGCCAACGCCTGTACGGCTCGCTTCGATGGTAAATTGGTAATATTTGTAAAAATGAGTCCTCTTCAGTTCGTTTTTCAGGGGAGGGGAAGAGGGGAGGGGGTTTTTGGAAATGGGAGAAAGGAAGGGTAAATCAGCGCGGTTACTCTTGACAGAGTACTCCCTCTGACTCACTTCCAACTTCGCTTACTCGCTTTATTAGAACTTGAACTTTTACTACGGAAGAAAGGGTTTTGACTTTTGGCTTATACTTTAGAGCACCAATTTTATCACATTTAATAAGTGGCGACAGTTTTACGTCTCTCCAACGATCTATTCGCCCAGCACTGTGCCAGGTGCTGCTGTTGGTCGAAATGGCCGTGATCGTTTACGTGGCAAATTGATGGTGAAGAAAAAGTACGGCGAGAAGAAGCCGGATCGTACTTTATTTTTTTAGTTTTTTATTTATTTTTTAAACGCGATGTGTTAAACCGCTGCATCATTGGGCCCAAAAAATACCAAAATATCGGTATTTCTGGCCAAGTATTTTTTAAAAACAGGCCTTAAATGCAATCTGATTAATTTGTGTGAATTATAACAAAGTATATAAATAATCTGACATATACTAACATGCGTTTAAGGCAGTATTATTAAAAGTTTACTATATTTATACCGTGATTCATCAGTAGTTTTGCCAACAGGTGTTTGTTGTTAGCATGTGATATCACTTATGTTACTTTCAAACATTTTTGCCTTTCATAGGCAGTGGATTAAAGAAGAGATTTTGGACTTCTCCCCTCAATGAA